GTTCTGTTGGGAACGGAGAAGCTGAATTCGTTTTATCTCGACAAGCTATTCAATTTCATAGATAAGTCTGAAAGTCTCCAGTACTTGAGCACAATGTAAAAAAATGCCTGAGTGCTTTGGAAATCGATCTCGTTTTTTTTTAGCTCATTACAAAACCATTCAAATACTCAAAATAGAATTTTAATTGTTTGTCAACATGTTGAAGAATATCAATAATAAGTAAGCCGTGGCGCAACAAATCAACAAGTAAACAAGTAAGAGCAGCGCTGTCTTCGGCTATGCCGAAGGCTTCATACCTTTCATGAACATCTGCAAATTTTACTTTGACAGATTACTGCTTTTGAATACATCTGCATACATCGATAGAGGAGTTACATACTTATATAAAAAATCGCATCTAAACAATCAGAGGTATGGAAGATATACTCTATATGGCACCAATCTAAGTGATTTTCACTGCTATGTGATCGGTATGTAAACCGGTAACACAATTTATTGGGTTTAGTTTCCTACATAAAGAAGATATATCGCAAAAACTGGTATCTGAACAATCAGTGGTATAGGAGATAAAGCTTATACAGAATAGATTTTGACGATTTTCTCAGTAGACTTTGTATTATTATTTATAAAATATCTTACGAAATTTATCGGTTTTAGCTGTTCAAATAAAGGAGTTTTACAGTAAAATCCCATATCTGAACAATCAATCAGATGTATGGAAGATACATATATGTTATAGTCACCCGATCCTTGTTATTTTCACTGTAAGTATTCCGTTGATAATGAGCAAAAATGGTGCGAAATTTCATGTTCCTAGCTACATAAATGGATGAATTATAACGAAAAATCTCATATCTGAACAATCAGTTGTATGGGAGCTATAGGTTATAGTTACCCGATCTTTTTAATTTTCACCGTAAGTTTTCTGTTAATAATTATTGAAAACAGTGCGGAATTTCATGTTCCAAGCTATATAAATGGAGGAGTTATAACGAAAAATTTTATATCTGAACAATCAGTTGTATGGGAGCTATAGGTTATAGTGACCCGATCTTTGTAATTTTCACTGTAAGTATTCTGTTGATAATGGGTGCAAGTACTGCAAAATTTCATGTTCGTAGCTGCATAAATGCAGAAGTTATAACGAAAAATCTCATATCTGAACAATCAGTTGTATGGGAGCTATATGTTATAGTGGTCCGATTCTTCCGGTTCCGACAAATGATTAATACATTATAAAAATACACCCACCTACCAAATTTGATCCGGATATCTCGAAAACTGAGAGACTAGATTGCATACAAACAGACAGACAGACGGACAGACGGACAGACGGACAGACGGACAGACGGACAGACGGACATGGCTAAATCAACTCAGCTCGACGTTCTGATCATATAAGTATACATTTTAATGGGTCTATCTCTTTTTGTTCTGGTACTTACAAACATCGGACCAAAGTTATAATACCATTTCATGCTCATGAAAGGTATAAAAAGCAATGAACCGCTAAACTGCACGACAGCGCAGGCAACTGCAA